CTCAGCTCTCCAGGGTCCTGCAGCAAAAGCTTGTTGGTGAGCAGGGGAATCAGATTTGTGCCATGGCCCATTTCTGTTTTCTTTGGGTAAAATATATTTTTTAGCTTTTTTCTCCCCACCCAAGCTATTTGGCCTTTTGTTCATCGCCCTGAGGTCCCTGTTKCACAGGTGCAAGGTGTCTGCACATCATCCTTTGCAGCATCCTTGGTGGCTGAAATTCAGACCTGCACCTGTAGAGAAGGCATGAGCCTGAGGAGACAGCTCTGGCTGATTTGGTTAACATGTGGATGTCCTTGCAGAGAAACCAGGTTCCTGTTCATGCTCCAAAGTCTGCCCTTGTGCCTCTAAGCCAGGCCTTAAAACCAAATTTTCCTGTTTCAAGGGAAAAGTGAATGTTGTGTTTGCAAACTGAGGCTTAGCTCCTATTAAAAAAAAAAACAAAAAAAAAACCAAAAAAACCCACCACTTTAAACCTGAGCCCTACACACATTGCTGCAGGAACAAGGGCTGCAAGAGTGGCAGCAAATGCGGCCTCCTTGCCAATGCAATCTGGACAGGGCAAAGTCTCCTCACAACCATTTGGCACCGTGCCTGACGTTTGTAGGCTAAAAGCATTCACAGGTGAGTCTGACAAGCGAACTCAGCAGCCTCCAGGGCTGAGATCTTCATTCCMTTTGAGTCACTTTCATGAGGAGCCCTGTGTGATCCCATGGCAAAACGGCCTCATTCCAAGGTGTGCTCTTGGCTCCTTGACAGCCGTGGCTCTGCCGGACATGGGGCTTGCCTGCATCCTTTTAAAAGCCACAGTTCCAGCGTGTGTTRGCTTTGCTGTGTGAGGCCTGTGGCAAAAAGCCCTGCTCTGAAATATCCTCTGAGGTGTTTGGCTTACTGCTCCTCAGAGATAGGCTGGGCAGTCCAGCAAAGATGGGGCAGACACTCCCGCAAAGACGGGCTGGACACTCGGGCAAAGAGAAGGGCCAGACATTGGACAAGGACAGGCTGGACACTCAGCAAAGAGAGGCTGAACACTCCGGCAAAGACAGGCTGGACACTCGGGCAATGAAGGGCTGGACACTACAACAAGGATGGGCTGAACACTCCCGCAAAGACAAGCTGGACACTCTTGCAAAGATAGGCTGGACACTCCCGCAAAGACAGGCTGGACACTCGGGCAAAGACAGGCCGGACACTCGGGCAAAGACAGGCTGGACACTCTTGCAAAGACAGGCTGGACACTCTTGCAAAGACAGGCTGGACACTCTGGCAAAGACAGGCTGGACACTCAGGCAAAGACAGGCTGGACACTCTTGCAAAGACAGGCTGGACACTCCAGCAAAGACAGGCTGGACACTCAGGCAAAGACAGGTCGGACACTCTGGCAAAGACAGGCCTTGTGCTGCCAACTTCAGAGTCATTTCCTTCTCCCAAGTGCTCGGGGCTGTCTGGAGCAGAGGTTGCGCTGGAGGCTCATCCGCAGCCCTCAGCAAACTTTCCAATAAACAGGAAAGAGCCGTGGGGAGGCCAACAAGACAGAAACCAGTCCCGCTCTGACCTTTTGTTCTTCCCCTCCCTTTTGTCTTAAAACTAACAAGGTGCCACTTGATTTGCTGCTCTGGGAGCTGCCAGATGGAAGTGAAACTCCTTCCCTCAGAGTACRTAGTACGGCTCAGTGAGGGCTGAGGCCAGCATGGATGTGCGAGGCCAGCATGGAGGCCTGAGGGGCTCAGCTCACCCCACAGCCATGGCTGGAGCCCATCTCCAGCTGGGAATGTGCCACCTGCCAGCCCACAACCTGCCTGCAGTGACACACTTGGAACAGGACAGTCAGTACCCCCACAACCCCTGCCTGTGAGGGGGTTTTGGGGTACAGGGGTGCAGGGTGTTATCTCAGCCTGCTGTCACTTTCTGTTTTGTCTCCTTCTGTGATGTGGCTGCTGCTGTGAAAGGGAGGGAAGCCTTCTGTTTATCAAATATTCTCTCCAGYCTTTTACTGCAATCTCCCCCAGTGCCAGAAGACGGTCAGGAAATCTTCCCCTGTGCTAATGAGGCTTGTCCTGCTCTGAGGGGCCAAAGAACCGAGGACTCCATGGCAGGAAGCAGCTTTCTCAAAGTAGATCTCTCCAAAATTGATCAARAAGGGTTGGTCCTCTTCTGTTTGATCTGTTCCCAGCCCTTCCAGATTTAACTGGGCTCTGAAAATATGAATGGATGATAAAATGAGTACTGTGATACAGAATTTGTCCTGGACACTGGAGGCGTGGTGTAGTGGCAAGGATACCCAACTTAGATTGTATTTTCTTAAGTTATATATCCTTAAGCTGTGAACAAGAAAAGGGARCAAGGACTCTGCTGCATGGCTGAATTACCAGGTCTCATTTCTCTCTCCCAGCCCACTTCTATCTCTATGACTCTTTCCTGTGAGTGTACCTGCCCTGATCCCCTGTGTTTGAGACACCTTCCAAGCAACATGRGGCCTTGAGTCTTTTCCAGGTGGAAGAGGAGCTCTTTTCTCATGTCCTAGGTAAGCTCCTGCCAGCAAGCAGTGTCACACAATGCTGCTTCCAGCAGCTGTTTTCAGGTTCTGTAATGCTTCAGCTGACTTTCTGTAACACATCTTCAGCACCTGGGTCTGCACCCACAGAGAATCCTGACTCCTCTGTCATCTGGAGTCCCACTGAAAYCATGATGGGAGTTTCCTTCCAAGACTCCTTTCTTTTCCTCCCACCCAAGACCCCAAAGGAGGGGGGGTGTGAGGATTTGGATCCATTACACATCTGCAAGGCACTTGGCTGCAGAGAGCCACATCATGAGGTTGTTATATTCTATGTGCCTCAGTGGGGGTGAGGTGGTTAATGACTAACTTGTAAAACTGCTCGGGTGCATGGGTGAACTGAGTAGGTGTTTGCAGAAACAGCTGAGCCAGTTTCCCCTGTCAGGATGGGTTTGGGTGCTGGCCAACTTTCCTGTCACACWCTGCTTGCAAAACTTCGTGGGGTTGAGTTTTGGTTTCTGAAACCTGTCAGACACAACTGAAGTGCAAAAGTGGCAGTGCTTGGTTTTGCAGGACTCTGTAAYAACATTTTCTGAGAAGCAGGACAACATTCTGTAAGAAGTCAAAATATTACTGTCAAAACTACTACTGCATCCATGACTTACATATTGGTTATATTAGGAGTAGAAGCCCAAATCCATTTGGATGATGGATATCATACCAAGAGCTCAAGGGTCTCTATGTAGTGTCTGGAAAACTGGGTTTGAGAAAAGGTGGGAGCTCTAAGCCTGACCATTTTACCATCCTGGCTTTTAATAACCTACGYTGTAAATATTCAAGTATATTTTAGCATTTCATATGAAAATCTTTCTAGAAAGGATTGTCCAACAGATATAAATTTGTTCAGTTTTCACAAAAACCCTTGGTAGTTCAGGTCCCTGTCTGTTAYGGCAACATGTGGCCCCAGAGATGGGGAAAGCTCTTCTTGATCTGAGAGACAGACTGCTTTTCTTTCACTGGACTCGTTACCTGGGAACAGTTATGGGCAAATCAAATTTTCTGCACCAGCCCCAATTTGGCCCATGCAATATCATGTCCTGTCCACTGCTTTTGGTGCCCAGACTTTGTCCTCCAGGCTGTTGAACCTGCCACAGCCTCCAACATTGATATTTCTGCAGAGAGCAGAGACTTCTAGAGCAATTAGTTCTCTTACAAAACTGGAAATGGGAGTTTCCACCCACTGATACTATTTATAAGTAAAGAGCAGTGGCCTTTAACTGCAACCCCTGCTGCTCCTGATGCCACTTGAAGACTACATGGTTGTTACAGTCCCATCATGGAGCCTGTGGGTGTGAAAGATGCATCTCATGTTGAGCCATTTCTCTTTTATTCTTATCACACTTGAGCACCTGTGAGTCAGAGGTTTGTTTCTTGCTTTTTTCCCTCCTCTCCCTCTCCCTCTGCAGCCTGAGATGGGGGATTTCTGGTGGACCTTTTCACATATATGAAATGTGGCCATCACAGAATGAAGCATTTAAGTGGTGTCAGGTTGCTAATTGTCCTGTCCCCTGCACACTTCAGGGGTGGCATCTGTGTGTACATGCATGAATTGTTCATAGTTCTGTTTTTTTGCAAGGAACCTGTGCCAGAGTCWGGAGAAAGACAGCTTAGAGATGGAGCAGCCTGCGGGGACACACCCCACCATCAGYTCTTTGCAAGCTGCACTTGGCACAYRAATGCCACTCCAGGTCTCTGATCAGCATTTCCATCCACAAAATTTGAGGGTGTGCAATGGACTTTTAATCTTCTTCTCTGCCCTCTTCTGATAAATCCTATCACTCTCTTTTTCRAAGCCTCTGGCCTGGAATTTTTAGACAATTATTCACAATTACATCAGCTATTTTTCTGTGTATGGCTAGGATGATTTCTTCCACATAGCTTAATCTGTGTTTATTGATAGTTACTTTTAACTGTGGCTTCATTGCCTGGTTATTCACTGCCATCWCCCTACAATTATTCACATTCAGGCCTAGATCTGAAAATCTTGCATGACTTAATATTAATTGTTGGTCATTTCCCTTTTCCGATTACTATGATTGTGCTAAATAGTTGAAATTCCAGCACAAGTTACAAGGTGTTGGGGAACTTTCCAGAAACTCTTCTTCTTTTATATGTGTCAGAATGTACATATATATGCAAAAATATGAACCCATATCTGTAGGTGTGCATTCAAACAATAATTTATTCTTCTTTTAACTTCCAATGTTTTAATCTGGTATGAGTGTGTAATAGTCCATGACAGTAATTTCTTTGGAGACTTCACCAGCTGTTAATGTTTTTTAAAACTCAAGGGCAGTGAATCAACCCAACTGTTTTGTCCCTCATGGCTGGCAATCCTTCCAAAAGATCTGATAGATTTTTGAGGTACARCTTTACAAAAACTATGTTGTCTTCCATTGATTGATTGATCCATTGAGCAATCTGTTTACAGAATCACAGACACAGAGACTTCTGGAGATCTTTAATCCAACCTCTATTCAAAGCAGGCCTGAAGAAGGGAGGCCAGCACAACCTTGGTGTCACCTACTCTTGGAAACCTCCAAAGGTAGAGTTTCAACCCCCTCTCCAGTTACAGATCCCAAAGCTGCCAATTTGATCCTTCTGAACTGCAACTGTGAACTTCTTCTGCTACACTTTATTCCTGCCTCTTGCTCTACCCTCTACCACTAGYAAGAAGAGTTTGTTTCCCTTACTTRTGGCTCTTCTTTCAGTAGTTTCTGTTTGGAAACTCTCCATCCTTGAAGATACTTAAAAGTGGAGCAGACAGCTCTGAAAGTGACCCTATTCCAAGCAARGGTTGATGTAGGGGTCTYCAGAGGTGCCTTCCAACCTAAATTATTCCATGATTTTGCAATTAGGCTGAACTCTAATAGGTTCCTCCACAAGAGACATATTAGGAAGTGTCATCACAAGGTGACATATTAGGAGGAGTCATCTACCAGAGCACAATTCTGGCATCCCAGCTACTGTTGGAAATTTTCCAGGCAGGTAGACTTGAGAATCCTTGGCATGTTGTAGCAAKGTGGACATTCTGTCCATGTGTTCTGTTAGTGTTTTGGGATGTGCCTGTCTTGAGCAAGAGGCTGTAAACTGATATTCTGCCWCTCTCTTATCTTGGATTGTCAGTCCATTACTGGATCTGGTGCTTTTTATAATAAAATGGTGTCTGGAAGACAAAGCTCATGTCAGCCTTTACCAGCAGGGCATTCTCCTGAAGATAAAGAGCTGGAAAGCAGCCTGGTGGGAGCAGCGAACCCTATCAGAGCCAACAGCAAACACTTAAATGATGAAATAATTCAGTGTCTGCTCGGAGCAAGAACTATCCATRTGAAAGACACTGATCTGTCATGGATTTTAAGGCTGGAAGGGATTGGGATGTTCCTTCAGCCTGACCTCCTACAGGGGTTCAACCATACGACAGCATTTTGTATCAACTCAGAGCTCCCAAATGAGTTTGTATTAAAACCCTTGAAGGACTGAAGGACCCCATTTTTGGGAGATCATGGTAAGGTTATCCTCACAGCTGGGAAAAATGCTTTCTATTTTAGTGTTTTAACTGAACTTCCACCATATGGGATTTGTGTTGGTGGTTTGTTTTGTTGTTTCTTTTTTTTTTTTTCCCTGGATTAAGCATTCTCCTACTGCCAGGGAAAGTTTAGTGTTCAAGAAATATTTTGACCAAATTTCTTACCTTTTTAGTACCCTTTCATAGAACCCAGAAGAACTATTTCTGGTTAGGCTGTAGATATTGCAGATAAACTTGACCTTTGCTTGTTTCTGCTAACAGAGACCCTCTGTAAAACAGATAATACCACTTCTCTCCCTCTCACAGGTGTTGGCTGTTCAAAAAAAAAGACCATTAACATTACTCAAATGCTACAGTGGGAAGAAAATATTAAGGCAGTCAGAGATCAGAGGCTGGATATTGCATTCCAAAACGTGTTTAGTGCAGCAACCTTATCAACTGGAAACTGAGCCCYCTGACATCACTTGAAGATATGAGCTGTATTTTCATATATGGGTATTGTTGTTCAGAATGAAAAGGCATCATCTGGGAACAGTTGTGTACATCAATAACTGGATACACTTGAAAGAGAAAAGGTATTTGGTGAGAGTAGGGGTTAATTGTTTCACTTGTAAGGGACCTTGGGATAAGGCATTGCAACCTTGTTAAGAGTACTTCTCATAGGAGAAGGCTTTTCAAAATGTAAAAACAGAAGCTGGTCTATTTGAGACAGTTCATCTGTTTACTCTAGATGGGGATTTTACTCGTAATGGAGCCAGTCGTCTCAGCTATCAGCCACACCATTTACAGTCAAAGGCTAGACCAAAATAGCTCCTGGGTCCTTCTGATTTTCTATTTTTGTCAATGATCTACTTAAATGCTGACTATATCCCACTTAGGACGCTCAGATCAATCTAATTGGCTAAACATCACTGAGCTGCACAGTGGTGGAGGAGTGGATCACCTCTCTATATTTAAAATGAATGCATACGTGGTGTCCTTGTGGAGAGTGGCTGTGGGAAGGCCTGGCACTGCAGAGTCATGGCTGGGCACTGGGGAAGATGCTCCACTTCAGAACAAAGCTGGTGTCTCCCACACTGCTGCTTTGTGGTACAAAGTACTGTGTGGTGATGAGTCGAGAAAGTGGATGCTCTCCCCCTGCTGCCTCCCATGCTGGGGTCACCTCGTCCTGAGAGGTCACCAGGCATGGATTCAGCTTTCCCGGGGATAGGGAATGACTCAGTGGTGTGGGAGTGCTCTCAGTTGTGTGTCAGGGAGAAGTCTCTGCTCTCAGCTCAGCTGTGACCCTTTCCTGAAGGCCTGAGGAGAGAGCTCCCTCTGGTCCACCATTTTTGATTACTCATAAGTGGTGCAAGTTTATTTATCTGGTGCTCCAAATGCAGTGCAGAGCTGGTATTTGGGCTTGAGCAACTGCCCAGAAATCCATCCACATTTCCATACASAGCGACTGAAAGGCTGATGCCCTTGCCTTTCTGCTACCCTGTTGACAAGTCATCATCAGCAGAGCTGTCTCCAAGTCTGTATTGCAGAAATCATTTATCCACTGTGGCAAAAACAGATATTGAATCAGAAATATGAGCCTTCTTCCWGGTTGTTCGGGGGTGAAGGCTTTGGTCATGTGCCTTGTGAAGGTGCTGTAGGTCATYTGGAGGTTCACACAGAGTGGTTCAGCATTAACCAGCATTAATCAGTAATTATTTAGCTGATTAGTTTCAGCTAAGCAGAAATGCAGAAGACATTTGGCCCAGCTATCAGAGAGATTCTCTATAYACTTGYCTGTGTAGYTCCAAAGAGTCTCACCTTCTGRTTTTCAAACCTTAAATACCATGCAGGAGGAGGTTTTTTTAAAATCCTACCAGACTTCCCCCTTGTTTATGAGAATAGTCAGACTCTAAAGAAAAATAAGGAAAAGGAAATTTTCTCTTTATTTTAAAATGTAAACATCTAAACTAGATGAGTCCTGAAATGACATCATCCTTGGGGAAGGGTCTGGGCCACCTATATATTTGGAAGTTGTTGGGAATATCAGGGGGGGTGTGCTCAGTGGCACTGGGTGCTCACAACCTTGGCTTTGTTTGGAGATCATGTGCAGACTGTGTAGAATTACTTAATAAAAACCAAGTCCCAGCACGACAGGACCAGACACAGGAAAGTCCTGGTAGTTTGGTCACAGGTTCTATGTCAGGTCATGACAAAACCAACAAATTCTTTAATGCTGTTATGTATTACTTTAATTAATTAAACACTGGGAAATTCAACTCACAGTCCAGGTCTCTCCTGGGTTAGTAATTGCAAAACTTACTTTGGCAGGATCATATGTAGTTAGAATTTTTTTCCTTTTCCTTTTCCTTTTCCTTTTCCTTTTCCTTTTCCTTTTCCTTTTCCTTTTCCTTTTCCTTTTCCTTTTCCTTTTCCTTTTCCTTTTCNCTTTTCCTTTTCCTTTTCCTTTTCCTTTTCCTTTTCCTTTTCCTTTTCCTTTTCCTTTTCCTTTTCCTTTTCCTTTTCCTTTTCCTTTTCCTTTTTCTTTTCCTTTTCCTTTTCCTTTTCCTTTTCCTTTTCCTTTTCCTTTTCCTTTTCCTTTTCCTTTTCCCTTTTTTTTCCTGTTTCTTTTACTAGTGAGAAAGCTTTTGTAAATTATTATTTCCTTTCAGAAATTTTTGAAGAAAAAATAAAAGGGCCTGGCATTTTCCTACCCACCCATCTTGGACTTCATTCAAAACTGCTGTGTCCAGGACAATATTTTTTCTTTGCCAAATGATAAAATTTTGGATACCACTGTGGAATAYAGGTGTGTTTTGTCTCTTCCTTCTGCTAAGGACATGCTCCATGTTTTTGTTACTGGTGTTCTTCCTGTTTTGGGCTTTTTTGGTATCCAATTAGCAGTATAGCACACAAAATTTTAACTGTCAGTGTTATTATAGTCAGTATGCAAATAGACATTTTCTCAAAAGTTCTGCTTCTGATACAGGACAAAAGAAATGTATAAAATAGATAATAACCCCCTACCCATGCAGTGTGYAAACTGCACACCCTGGGTGCTTACTTTGCAGCAGTAACTTTCCTGGTGTTATCCTACACGTCATTCCAACGGCATTAGTGCAGGATGTGCAGCAATGGAAATTTCAGTTTTATTTGATTATATGATACGGGGAAAACTCATGTGGCATCACTGGTTTGAATTTAATAGCTCAGGCTCAGCTGATATGGTGTTTCATTGCTCTTCACTGACCTGTCCTGCAGCTGAGGACACAGGAGATAGGCAATATATCTGAGCAGATATTGCCTCTGTCTCTCCTCTCTCAGAAAAAATATTTGCCAAGGAGATCTGCACTCAAAAAAAAATAGTGTTTGTGGGGTTATCCTCTCTTTGGGAACAGCTTTGGTTTGAGTGTAAGCCTTAGTGGAGAAGGCACCCCCATGGTTCCTAAGCTACCTGAGAGCTGGACAACCCACAGGTCCTTAACAATTTCTGRAGACTGTGAATGCACCTCATCAGCAAAATTCATTGCATTATTCTGTCCTTTCCCATGCTGTGGTTGGGTGCCCTGGCACTCTGTCTGCTCCAGAGGTCATGGGATGTTTTGGAGGGATGGGTGATCTCCAGGTGAACAGGGTGAAAATAAATAAATAAATGCCTGGGGGAGTGTATCAGGTTCAGGTCGCCTTGCGTGTGACAGGGAAGAGCACAGCAGGCAGAATGGACGGGAACAGATTTTGTTTAAATTTAGCACCAGTGTTGTGGTTGGAAAAGGCTGATGAGAACTTGGCACTTAACTCCTCACCTCGTACTGCTCCCCCCAGTAGGGTTGTCAGCATTGCTGGTGCAGAGCCTGGGCAAACACCCTTTAAATAACCTCCTCCCTCCTGCAGGCTGTTTTGCTGAGCTGTTCTGGTTTCCTGGCACTCACAATAGTGGCCCACATTTTATCGTGTGGAGGGGTGTAAGTCCCACACCAGAAGCAGGTGAGCTTCTGTGACCCTCCCTGTCAGACAGCCACCATCTATGATTCTGGGAATGTGCTGTGACTCCTCTCCCACCCCGTGGTCCAGGTGGGAGATGGATTTGGACCGGCTGATCTCCCATCTCCTGAAGCCAATTGCTCCATGAGGCCACCCTGGAATGCACAGGAGCTGATCTCACCTTCCTGTTCCCCTTGCTCTTTTCCAGCCCTCTCATTGCACAGGGCAGGTGAGATCTGGGCTTGTTGTTGACAGCTGTTTATCTCCTCAGTTCCATTTCTCGTGCCAAGMCCCTCTGTCTTCTGGGATATGATGCCTCCAACTATCCCTGATGCAGCCTTAAGTCAGGAAAAGCTGGCACAAGTTTTGGCATTTGACAGCTCCACGTCCATGTCCCCATGGTTACCCTCTCTGTGCAGGTCTGTGAACTTTCTTAACTTAGAGCAAGTAAGGGAGGCTGCTGGAAATTGTGCTGCCATCACCTTCTGATCTGCAGARAAATTGTGGATTCCCCCAAACTGGTACTTTGCAGAAAGTTACAGGGGAAATATTACCTTCCCCAAAACTAGGAGAATGCCATGCTTATCTGCATCTCAGGTAGCTGGGAAGCCAGCAAAGAAAAAAGCCTTATTCCCTACCCATCCTTCCCACCTTGTTGGAAATAGTCCTTTGAGTTTTCCTATGCTGGTGCGTCATAAACACCAGTAAGGTAATTTTTTTCTAGTTACATCCTGAGCCTCTGACTTTCCCCAACAAAAATGCCAGTGTTGTCCCTGTCACCACCTGCAAAACTGCTGAACATGGCTGTTGTCCCCACTCATGGGATGRGGACAGGGCTTTCTATTTTGTGTAGTCCTACAGAAAACACATCAACTCCAGTGGAAAAAAGCAATGGATTTCACTGGAGAGTTCTGTAGACTCTGTCATCTCATCATGGCAGCATTTTCCATGCTGCTATATTTACTTTCTTTTGGGTGACAGAATCCATGACCCCTCGAATGAATAATTAAAGCTGCCTTTCTTTTTCAGTTTAATTGGAAAGAAAAGTCTTTAAAAAAAGTTGTGTGCCCCTGTTTTGTGAGAAATAACAACCTGTTTTTCCCTCTGTCCTTCCACATTACATCTACCAGGCCCAATATTTGTTTTTTGCCCTTGGGATACAATTGCAGAGTATGTTAAGCATCCTGAAGAAAGAGCCCTCACTTGGTGTTTGTACTGCCCAGCTCAGGCCAGAAGGGTTGGGGAGACAGATGGACCTTGAAGTGGACCTTGGATGTGTTATAGGTATYTTTAGACCTTCTTCAAGGAAAGGAAGGAGAAAGTTTGGTCTCTCCTCTCTGTGCCAAGATGAAATCAAAATGGTGCACTGAAAAATGAATAGTTGTTTCTGGTCTGAAGTTTTTGGAAGCCTAAATGCTGAAAATATGAAGGTTCAGCACAGTGTTTTTGTGCACATTGTAATGGCCAGGAGCTTTGTCCCCACTGAGGCTGTAGGACTGAACACGTGAACAGTGCCTTGTAGGGGATGGGGGGAGCTGGGGGTGTTGCTACAGTCCCATTTTTAAATCTTTTCCCCCTGTATTCCCTGCAGAAGAGATGAGCCCAGCTGCCTGCCCRAGGAGAAGACCTCTGTCAAAGCATGCTCACTGACAAATGAAAGCCCCTGCGCTGAGATTATGAGGAACTTTATGGTCGTGGGAACTTCAGACAAGGATATGTGAGCCTCCCCCTCCTGCCCTGGCAGTGACCCCARCTCCAATCCCAGTCCTGCAGCTCGACCACAACTGGGACAGCTCRTGACTCTCTTGGCCACAGACCCCAGGGCCCCAAAAGGTGAAAAGTGAGGACAGAGCTCCAGACATAACCTCTCCTGTTGGACATAAGGTGGGAAAATCTGYTGGGGCATCCTAGTACCATGACCTTTGAGGAGCAAGGTCCCAGAAAAATGCTATGGCATGGTGGGGAGTAGCAATGAGAGCTGCTGGCTATTGGGAAGGAGTCTAAGGAAAGGTGACCACCTTTCACAAATGGAGAATGTTGCAGCTGCCTGTGGCACTGCCTTGCAAAAGTGATGGGTTATGTGTGTGGGGAGAAAAAACTATTGAAAATAATAGCATAATTGGCTGTCTGGCAGGCTAAAACTTCAGCAGAAGCTGTGATTATACTTGTCACTATCTGTTAACCTTCAAAACAGGTGTTGTGTGTTTGAGGTGCCAAAGTGGTGCTCAGGCTGCAATCTGTGTGTGTGACAGGAGCATGGGCTGGAGGAAGGGCTGGGGGCCCTGCCAAATGGGCACAGGGGTGGAAAGGGGATGGTCTTGGGCAGGCAATGTGTGTGACACAAATGGATTTGGCTGGTGTTGAAAGGAGAGCACGTCCTGGCAGTGCTGGGACCCAGCAGGACATGTCCACAGCTGATGGCAGACGGTGCTTCTGTGGGGACCCCAGCAAGGGAGTTCTCTTTTTTAGGCTGATTTAACAGTYGAAGGGTTTGGGCTAGGTTTATTAAAGTTCTCAGATTACTGAAATGTGTAATAATCAGCTGGAAAAGCCTTAACTCCTGCCACCATCCTGAATTTTTACTTGGTGTTAGGAATTAGGACTATAATGCTTTGTAGCATTCTTGGTTCAGCTAAGCATCTCACTTTAATATGTTTGGGGTTTGTTTCCTTCTGGTTAGAACCATAAAAACTGTTAAAATTTTGTGTTTMTTAATTTTTAAAACCAAATTAATTGAAATGCAGTATTTCAGTGAAATGAAAGAAAAAAGAAGTAGTATTTTCTTTTTCCTTCAGGGAATATTTTCATTGTAAACCTTATAATGACAAGAGTCTTGGATCTTACAAAGCTGTACTGCTAAGTAAGTCAACAAGCTTTGTAAAGCTTGGCATGTGCAGAAGATGAGTGAACAACGTTAAAATGGGAACATTAGGTAGRGCTCTAGAATACCTAAAGAATCTAAAATACAAGACTTTGGAAAAAATTGTCAGGGATAAAGATCAGGAGGTTGTAAGGTGCTAATCACTGGCATTTTTCATGGCTTGCAAACCTAAAAGACTGTCAGCACACTTAAAAATCTCCTCATCTTGTCTAACTRATGTAATTAACTTTAAAATTCTAACTCAATCAGGGATGAAAGTGTGCTGACACCACATGTATGAACAAGATAACTTTGTGCCTGAATTCCACCGTGAGAGTCCTTTTAAAGCAATCCATGTCAGGCTATCTGATTGCTTTTAAAATTAGTATACACCTGTATCATGTCCTTGTCCCAAATAAGAATAACTCAAATGTTCTCATGTGGATGTGCGTGACAGTTATCAAGCAGAAATAGCTGATTGTTGACATAATAACAAGTTTACTCTAATGTTGATGAAACTCCAGAGTTGGTATTTTTTATTCCCGCTYCTGTTTATTAAACAGACGTGGGTTCGGGTGTGAAGTTGGCAGGTGTGGAAAACCTGTTTCTACCATCAGAGTTGGTGCTGCGGGGCATTGTCTAGTTTGGGGTCTTTATTTTAATACTGTATTTTGGAATATTGCAAACCATAATGCGATAACTGAGTACCCATAAACAGTCTCTTGGCAGCATATCTTGATGATCAGAGATGTGGTGCAAATGTGCCTCCTTCCCTCAGGCGTTCTCATGCCATGCACCTCCCACTCTGTTCCTGAAAGTGGGGGATTTCACACCGAAGGTTATGGCTCAGGGTGACCTGAGCAAAAACTGCTTGTCATTTCCAAGCTCTCTGCTGCAGGACAGAGGTGGCTGTGGTTTGTCTGTCTGAGAAGGGCAATCTTGGTACAAGGGATTTGCACCCATGAAAGTCTGGCTCGAATCCTGTCATTTCCCAGCTGGAGGTGGAATGGCACACACAGCATTTGGGAGAAGGCTGTCCTTTTCCCTCCTTCAAGAGTCAATGGGCACATCTAGAAGTAAGGAGGAGGAGTAAAATAAAGGAGGAATAAAATCTCATAGAGAACTAAAAGCAGAGATATATCAATGCCAAACTTCGGTTTTACTAATTTTTGAATGGCACTTGCAAAAATCTTGGTGCAGCTGCACCTATCATACATCAGGATTTGAAAAGACAGAGCTGTGAAACAGAGAAGTTTACATAAAGCTGAAGAGCTATGGGGTCTTTAAAAGAASGTTGGCTTAAAAGCAGCAAGCAATGCCTTCTCTATGGCCCTGGGGAGAAATTTTATGGGAAAAAAAACAAATATTGAAGCATTTCCTTGGAAAAGAGGGCTCTGTTTTCCTGCTGCAAAAYATTGGATCAATTTCTCTGAAAAAATTAGATGTTAAAGGGGCCTGTGTGGAACTTAACCTGCTGGTAACAGTGAGTGTCTTCTACAGGAAAAWAGCTATCCAGATCTCTCAGAYCMCTTTGATTYCTTTTCCACTGACCACAGTAGGCATTTGGGCACTTTGCTGTGGCCCCATGTCCTAATCTTGGATCTCAATCGCACCCCTCAAGTTACCTAGTTTTAAAGCAGGTGTCATGGTTCAGAGATTGAAAGTGAGTTTCATCTCCATATGGTAAAAGGGCTGTTGGGAAATGCAGAAATAACGGCACAAAGCAATCGGCAACAGGAGCCCTAGTCATTCCCTGAACTCGGTAACCTGCCATTGCATACTCCATCTGGGACTGGGGCTTATTTCAGAAAGTTCAGGACAAAAAGCCAATTTATCTCTTCACCTCAAGGAATTGATGTGCCTTATTTCAGCAAAGAAATGACAGACTGAAAAAAGAAGAGGAAGAAGCATTTCAGTTATTTATGGAGACCATGCTTTATGCCTGTTTCTGACTYGGGTGGAAATGAGATGGAATTGGCTGTTTCTCTTCCACTTCTTTCACAAATTCTTTATTTCTTTGTGCAGATGTTAATTCCTGAAGCTTATGTAAAAATAGAGAGGAGAAGAGTATTTTGTAKCAGCTGGGTGTCTACAGGTGTTTTGGATTGCACTGCCTTAAAGCTTTAAACCATTCTTAAAATATAATCCTGACAAAAAACTATTATTTCATCACTACAACTAAATACAATTTTACAGATTACAGCTGGTAGTTTTAAATTAAAAATTAGGTCAAATTTTTAATTAGGGTACAAGCCCTAATTAGGACCTCCTTTATGCTTCTGAGTTTGATAACAAGTGTTTTTTCAAAAAAAASTAAGTCTGGACTTTGTGTTGTATTTTTCTAAACCCCAAATATTTCTTACTTTGGGAATATGGGGAGTATTTCTCATATTTTCTGGAGATGAGAACAAATGAAAGCAACAGGTCTTATCTGTCTCTCTCTTTGGCAGTGATTATATCAGCAACTTTTAGAAGCTCTGTTTTCCATAAATCGCAAAATATTTAGAGTACCTCCTTGAATTCTTTCGTAGTTGAATGTTGTAAAAATTTTCTGTTATTRCAACCCTTGGTGAGTGCCAGGATGACAGATTTATACTTGTTTGATCATTTCCTTTACCATGTCCAAACATTGCAATAGTATTTGCTTTCTCTCATGTTTCTGCCACTGCTGTGCCTGAGTTACTAAAAGCAGCATCCAGAGAAACTTCCTAACCTGCACTTTTAGTAGTCCTGGTGCCACGTATCTGGTTGTTAAAAAATTATTTTAGTAGTGACTGGTTTTCTTCCATTTTGATTATGGCTTGAGTAGAAGATATTAATTCTTTCCTTATGGTATGAACATATCTGGTTTAATCCTGGGCAGGAAAGGGACACATTTGTTAAACACTACGGATTTTTTTTCATTATTACTGACTGTTCTGGTGCTTTTACTATTCATGGGCTTTTAGTATTAGTAGGGTTACTCTTGGTCCCAACGGACTCAAACATCTGCTCCTTACTGTCTTTTTTTTTTTTGTCCATATGTATTTCCTTGCATCCCTTTGCTTCCTTATTAATTTTGTATAGCTCCAGGATGTATTTTCAGTGTTTACAACATCTGTCTTCTAAACAGCCACCCATTATTGTTCTTATTTTGCATCCTTTTCTATTCTAGATTTTTGGAACCATGCTTCCTTGCTTACTGTTTTAGTCTGGTTTTGTTGTTATTTGGTTCTTTTTCCATCTAGCTAAATAATTTTTAACTACTCATTGCAGGCATCACGTTTAGTCTGCAGTCCTTCCTTACACCAGGCTTGTACTTGATTCAGCTTTGTGAACCTGGCTGTCTTGAAATATTGTGTGTTTTTAACTGACTCAGACAGGGATCAAACATAATCATTTCCATCTTAGTTACCATTAGCTTTTATTTCTTGGTTAGAAAATTGTCATCCATGATTTGTAGAAATTCCAGAGGAGTTACTACTGCCAGCAGGAGATTTTGATATATATCATCCTGAGTCAATTTTCCCATGACAGTCCTGTGCCCATGGTGGATAAATGGCTTTGGAGCYGCCCCACCTAATTTTGAGGGTGGTTTAGCATTGAGGCAGGCAGCTATTATAACCTCATTTTGTACTTTACCCATCTGGACGTGATCAACAAGCAGTCAAAATCACTTGCTGCTGAGCTATCACTGCTACAGAARAAATTAATGCCAGCCTTGGTCTCCTTTGCACACCTGATGCTCCTCTGGAAAGTTGCAGTCACTGCCTCCACCTCACTCAAAAAAGTAGATAATTTCCCTGGGTTTCATTAGCATGAATTAAAAATAACAATTTGACAAAGCATTTTGAGGAATATTTCACAAATGCCGATGAGCCTTTTAACTTGTTTTTCCACAGTTATACTTTTGAATGTAAAACCCGTGTTTCCCCATCCTCTCACTAACTTTAGCTATAATACCTATAAAATTCTTTATCTTTTAATTCAAGTTGTCCTCAAGAAGTTGTGAATGAATGAGCTATAAGTCAATTGCTTTCACAAGGCTACTTTCTGAACTGTGGTCTCAAAATATGGTAAGGACAGAAACAGGGASAAGAGCTTCAGAGGCTGAGTTCTACTTGAACGATTGTGTTCATCAGCAAAGGCAAGAAGAAACTCTGTAATCAGAAAAAAATACAGAAATTGAAGTGATCCAGAAAAAGATCTTTTTGCATTCTGCTTTTGCTTGTTTGCAAGCCCGGGGTCTCACCACCTCTCTTGGGTTCAGCAGACCTCACATGGAAGAAYTAACAGCATTTAGTGTCAGTTTTCAGCATTCAAAACTGCTGGTCCAGAAGGGGATGCACGGGAGAGGGGTGACATCCTTGGGAGCAGAAGGCCCATTGCTGTCCTCAAGGTGGTGTCTCTCAAACCCCATRCCCAGGGGCTAAATGTGACTGAAAAACAAATATTGACTTCTGACAGAGTTTGGAGAAATCCATGTGGGTATTTCCAAGAGTTTATGAATTAACCAGAAATGGAGATAAGTACTAGGCTATCTATTTCATCAGCTAAGAAACTGTTGACTGAAGCCTAGCATGAGCCAAGTACCTACATGCACTGTGTTTCAAAGAATTAATCATATCTTCAGATGTGGAGCTTGCTAGTTAGTTTAATTACTATCTTTTTTTTTTTTTTCTTTCAGTAGCTAAATGGGTCCAATGACATTTTTTTTTAATAGATAAAAGAGAATCAGGCTTCAAAACAGATAATGAATTTCTTCTAACTCGTCTGGAGACTGAAGAGCCATAATTCTGATTGATCAGATATGGTCTGCTACAKAGAGGCACCAGATGTGGTCCAGATTTTAAATAGATGCTGCTACTGTCAAAATGCATTCGCTCCCTCCTGGTGTAACAAAGTGAAGTCCATCTGTCTGGAGTCCTGCACTTTTTTTAGTGGTAATAACAGTTAACATCAACAATAAGCTTTGTCTCATTAGTATCACATAATCCCTACTACCAAGTCCCCAGTTTCTGGTCCCCATATTATCTGCCATGGAAAAAATAAAGACCACAGCAGGAGCTAAGAAGGTCAGTGCATTCTCAGGGTAATCAGCTGTAGTAAATTCAATTCTGACAAGACAAGGCTTGCAAATGTCTGGGGAATTAAGGGATCATCTATAATTTCATATGTTGAGTGGGAAAGTGTCCTTCCAAACATTTATTAATTACAGATGAGGGTGCGTATAGTGCTTATCCTTGGAGAAATTTCTTCTGAAGCAAAGAAAGAAATATAGATTTAACTCTTTGCTGCTATTCCTAAAGAAAAACCACTGATCTTCTCCCTTGGCCTTGCAATGGTTTCAGTGAGTATTCTTTCTCTCTTGGTGTTTATTGCTCTGTCTTAGCAACAGATGCCTGTCACCCCTTATGAAACCTTTTGCATGAAGGGTTCCCACTGTAATCAAGGGAGGAACTGATTTTGGCTTTAGTCTGGCTCAGTGCCCTCTCTCCAGGGTTTGTGCTGCTTAAGAAGTAACAAGTAAAGAACAACAGACAAAGAGCTTCACTTTTAGAACTGAACTTTTCACTTTAAGATCTTGGAGCACTTTGGAAAACTTAATTACTCCCCTTTGAGGTCTGTGTTGTTCTTTCTGTTTTACAGATGAGGAAATTAAAGCACAGGGAGGACAGAAGCTAACATTTTCCAGCTTAGGCAACTGAAGGTAAGTGCTTACATCCACGCCTTCCTTCCTGAAGAGGAAGTCCTCAACACTTTCATACTCCTTTTTTGAAAGTGTGGGCTATATCTTAGTCARGAGCTCTCCAAAAGTCACCAGAATTGTTGACAAGGCCATTAAATGGTCTTAAAAATAAGAGATGTAACGTGTGTAGCTCATTTCCCTTAGTGAAACCAAGAATGAGGAGGAGAAATGAACACAAAATCCATTGGGGACTAAATATTCAGGGAGGAAAAGAACTATTTAAGTAAAATAATGAACTTGCCATAGAACAGATTGGTCTCAGTTAAACACAAATAAGCATAGACTGAAAATTAGGAGRAGGTTTGTGATAATCAGAGGAGTGAGAACTGGGGACAAATGGGGAGCTTGGGGGTGAACAAGGTTACTCAGGTTGAGATGAAGTTGGTTCAGAATGGGAGAGGGATGAAGGGATGCTGTACCAACACTTACAAGGGACTGGAATTGGTGGTCCAGCATGTGGCTCCATGTTGTGTTCACAGTATTGTAAACCACAATTTCTTAATCCACACATAAACACCAGGACAAAGTGGTCTTCCTCCTTGCAGGGGCCCCTGGGTATTGCTTCTTTAGGATTTAGGTCATCTTGGTAGGAAAATGTTATTTGTGCCACAGGAGGAAAATGAATACCTGGTGACATCAAATGCCGCTCTCCCTTTAGACCTGCAGTTCCTCGTATGCCAGATTGCAGCTATTGTATGAAGAATTTTCAGTTCCTTTTTGTGCTTGGCAGCTGATTGAAAGTTCATATTATTTATGGCAGAAAACAGCAGTGTACTTTTGAGCCTGAGGAAGCTGGGAAAGTGCAGTGGGTGTCAATCAATTAAGCTATTCAACTTATTTATGAAACAGGACAAAACAATGTCTAGGATATGAATTCCCATCTCAATGGGATCCCCCCTGATATAAAATGTCAGAGCTGAAAAAGGGTCAGCTCATGACCCTTGAATATTCTTTTAAACTATTTGCAAATCAATACCTCTTCTCTGGGTTTGTTCAGGGACCATCGTTCCCTTTTATTATAAGTCATGGGGCATAGAGTGCTTATCAGGGAGTATGGAGACAGATCACTGCACTAAAGCAGCAGCTGGCTTTGGGGACTGGGCCTGACTCTCATTTCTGGGGGGGGCTCAATTCACTCCACTCCACTCTGTAGTGCAAAGGGTTTTAAAATGAGCACTATTATGGTTCTTACTGGCTCTTGAGCTCCTTAATATCTGTTGGAAGAGCAAAGAAGTCCTTTGCTGTACATGCACTTGGGCTTATCCCCCTCTTACCAGTGCCTATATCAGCCAGGAACATAATCTGCCATTTTCTCTTCCAAGTTTTTTGTGTCAGGAGGACCCCATGTCCCTGGGTTTTGGAGCTTCTTTCTCTTAGCAATAACCTGTTGTACAGGTAGGGCTRTAACAGACAGATGGCCTGATCCTCAGCTGAGCATCTGGCCTATTAAGCTCTCTAAAAAAGCATCATCTTTACAAATCCTAGTCTTAATCTCATTGCCCACTGCATGACCCATGGGGGTTTCAGATCAGTGCCAAAGATGGGAAGAAGAGGAGGGCAGCTGGAGGATCCATGGAGTCAGGGGAAGGGAGGTGCCTGCAAGGCAAATCTAGAAGCTGAGTGCTGGGGATGTGACCATTTCTCACCATGAGGAGCTGGAGAAGGTCAACAGTCCTGGCTGCTCCAAGCTCTCCTGCAAGGAGAACATGCACAGAATGAACCTTTGAAATAGCTAGTCCAGGTTGTTGGATAGGTTTGTCTAAGGGACCTCCCTCTGCCTCTTCTCATGGCATCTTCTTTCTCCATGCAAAAACTCAACCCTATGCCTCATCCCTATGCCTCATCCCTATGCCTTTCCACAGCACTTGAACAAGAATGAGTCCAGACAGGTGAACTGAGGATAAAACAACAGAGGGAATGCCCAGTTGCCTGCTGGTTTATCAATAAGAAGACAGCTTTTTGGCAAAGGGAGATGAGAAAGACTGCAGTTTTCAAGAAAGTGAGTTGTTCATGTCCATGATCCCATCTCCTGCCAGCATGCMATTCCTCCTGGGAAATCAGTGTACACAGCTTTTGTCTAAAAGACCAGCAGTGTGGAATATCCATGTGTGGTATATCCTGTGGTATACCCTCCTCTCACTTTGCCTGTTACAGAATGAACCTTGAGGCAAAAAAAATTGATTGTGTTAATAGCATGCGTAAAGGGAAAGAATTTCCAAGAAGTTGAACTTGCATAGTACTGAGTGACCTGAAAATGGTCAGCTATGGACTGGTTTTGAGGTAGATCAGGTCCAAATATAAAATAATTTAGAGCAGACTTGGATCAGATTCTTTTAGAGTGAAAGACATTAAATTGACCATTTGAGTTCCCTGAGATTTTCCCCCACAAAATTCAGATGAATTCTTAAAAAAATTAATAGCCACAAATGCATTAAGTGCTTTATGGTAACTAAGCATAGAGATGGTCCCCTTCTGGTTTTCAAATCTAAAATATTTTAATGTMTTTTTGAAAGATTGAGGTAGTAATCTTTTTTTAATTCAACCCATTTTAATACTTGGAAAAGTGAATAATTCTGATATTTGAGTTTGTGCTTCTGGAAAAAAATGTATCAGGTAAAGTCTCCCTCATGTTTGTAAAAGAAAACTTGGACCCTAGTTCATCTACAAGTTTGTTTGCACTCAGTAATTCTGGTGCAGGCCTGTAATGATGGATGGTAGGAAACATGAAACAAAAGCTCCCAAAGAATCTGAATCTCTTGTTTGGATTTTTTTTTTTTAAACAGGATTTTCCTTTAATTAGTAAATCTTGGAGAAATTGCTGTTCACTTGGATCTAAGATGTGCWGTGAAATCCTACATCAACCCAAAAGGGTCAAAAGGAAAATGAACTTCTAGGCATGAGCAGGACTGTAACACAAGGTTTTTTCTATTTATTGCAGACAGCCAATCAACTTTCAGCCAATCATTCCAAATCTTTGTTTCAGGCTTCCATCTAGCAAAGTTCTTTTGGGACATTCTTAACTTWAAATGCATACAAAATTCTCAAAAATACCATTCAAAAGGACTGTTCACAGATACAGCTTATGTCTGATATGCCTAGGAAGGTGCTACAAGCATATTTCCCCAAAATAATCAATCAAAATAAATCATGATCAAAATAAAAAACAGTTATAATAATATATTATTATACTATGAACAGTTATAATAATATAATATATTATTAACAGTTATAATAAAAGGCAGTTCATTAGCAATCAATTGATAATTAAGGTAAAGAAAGAAAGCCCAAGAATAAGAAAGGGGTATCTAAGTTCTATTTATAGGCATGTAAGCAATATCTTTRATATGACATTCACTGAAAAAAAATTCTAGATAGTTGTCATTGAAAAGTGAAACAAAATTGGGGAAAACATCTCAAAAACTGGAATATGAATATAGAACAGGAAATTTCCAGTCAGCCCAAGGTTTGTTATTAATAGACACTTGCCACAAAATACTTCATAGAAATAGATTAGGAGTTGAAAGTTCACCATAATGTAGCTATAAAAAAAAAAGAAAAAGCTGATGAATCGCAGTTGTTTCCATCTAAATAAAGAGTAACTAACCAAGGAACCATCTGTCGGTGTATGATTACCAACTTTCTTTTTGTCTTTCAAAGCAGCCTGAGAAATCAAGGGCACTGGGAGTAGAGGGGAGAGCACACACAGGCTGCAGGCTTGCCAGCAGCCAGCCCCAGAGGGTCTGATCTGATCCTTGCCTTTTTCTCTTGGTGCACTGATTTCACACTGCTGGTTTTCATCTGGTGCTCCTCTATATTTCAAATRCATGCGGCACACTAACAGGGCTATTCTTCAGTAAATGTGGCTAATTTTGTTATAGCTGAGTGCTTAAAAGTAAGACTTTTCTAAAAGAAGAAAAACCCAAAGTCCCCTCTCTCAGTKTGTGAAACCAACAGAATAATATTAATTCATTTTTTTTCTCCTGTTATTGAATAGTAAAAAAGCCTCAGATACCCTGAGAAAGCATATCCTTAATGGTTTTCTTAAGGCTGAATGCCCTACTAGCAGTAAGAAAGACAAAGCAGTGAGATCTAAGGCCTTTTAGTCTCTAAAAAACTGCATAGGTTTTTATGCTGGAAAAATGAGGGATTTATTCCTTTTTTTCGGTCACATGAGTTCAGGGTCAATGTACAATTTCTCTTTTTGTTTCTATTCCAATGACCACCTCTTTTGGGGTGCTTTATTCCCCCAAACCCCATCTGACTCTGATCAAACTCACTGCATCTGGCTCTTTGTTGCCAAAGGCATTTTGCAGCGTCTGCACCCACAGCCCTCACAAACCCAGCACCCACAAACCACCCTTCCTTTGTGGAGGAAGAGTGATGGGCACCAAGAGATTTGCCAGTGAAAGCCTGCTCCCATCCTAGCCAAAATTAAATATTTTGTGTTATTTTTTTACAAATCCCCTGCCCATGACTCCATTCCTTGCCCTCCCTCAACTCCTCCAGCCGTTCTCACGCCCCAGGTACCCTTGACTCAGGCTCAGCCCTCTCAGCTTCTCCCCCTGCTGCATTTCCCCTTGTCCCCAGCCCTTAATCCATGTTTCCCACCTCTGACCCAGTTGCTGGGAGCAGGTGGAAAGGCAGGTGATAGTATAAATATTTATGTCAGGAGGTCTTTGCTTGGAAACGTTTCCTGGTGGAGTTGTCGCACTTAGGAAAAATGGTTAAAAAAACCCCCTCCAATCCCAAAATACATGTACAAATCCACAAAGAGGCATGTTTCCTTTGCATGGCTACCAAAACAAAGAGTCCCTCTGAATAATCAATAGCAAACCCCAAGAGCATGAAATTCAACAGACCTGAAGTTGCCAGGATCAGCTACTCAGTGCAATTCTACAACGGGAAGCCAGACAGCAATTACTTATCCTACAACTACAACTACATGAGCAAAGCARCTATTTACATGTACATCTTGTCAGTTCAATATGTTGGTTTCTGACTCTTGTCAAGTCTAAATGGGAACATTGCCACCAAATTTTTTATTTCTTTTGCATGAWATACTGATTTACATGTTAGTGTTGCACCAGCTAGTCCAGCATCTAGGGCCAGTGAATATCCTATRGCCACAGATTTAAGCAAATAAAACAATTGGCAAGCAGCTCTAATAAGCACCATCCCACTGCATGCCTGGAAATTCTTTTTAGACTCATTAAGCAGTCAGCAAATAAGACACATTTGTCTCCCATTAAAGAGTAAATTGGAAATACTGAAAGGAAACCTATGCATGGCTGTGATTTGTTAGAGAGTGTATTAGCARGAGCAGCCACAGTATGTTTAACAGTTGGGTATGAGTTAAAGCAGGAACTGGAGTGAGAGGAACTATTTTAAATCGTCTCTATTAATAATCTGAAAGTACATTTAAAACCATCAGCAGTCCCAGCCATCTTTGACTCTTCCAGGAGGAAGTTGCCATTTGTTGCAGAGCTGCTGCTGCTTTTATTTGACACTCAATATGTGTTTTCCCCACAGCATTAGATAGCTTGGGCTCTATCCAGGACACATTTGGAAAGGAACTGATCCCTGTAGTTCCTATGCAACGATGAGATTTACTACTCAGGTCGATGCGTATCTCTGGTGAGTCAAATAAACATAAGGAGCATTAATTAGGGCTGCCTGCTGAATTTAGATTGCATTCACACAACCTGATACGGTCGCTGGTGGGGCCAAGCTGGTTCACCCAAGGTCTCACTGGGTGAGACAGGCAGCACCCAGGGCCTGGATCAGCTGTGGGCTGAAAAATAACCAGCCCTGCTGTTCTCCCCCACAGGCTCCAGGCTGACTTTGGGAAACACCTTGGAGTTTATCTGAATTTAAGGCCTTAAGGCATAAAACCTCAACCTTCTCTGGATRAAGAGAGGTTTGAGATCATTTAGGGACATGTCAGTGGGAGAGTGGTGCTGTGATATTAAAACTGATGCTTCAACACACCACAGTAGCCAGACATATACGTGTTAAGTGAGTGTTATAAAAACTCATRTTTAAAATATTTTAGAATGAGGTTTTCATCTAGGAAGGTTGGAAGTGGGGTCCATGAGTGTTGTTGATTTCTGTTCTCAGCCCTGCACTAACTGTGGTTTCTAGTGACAGAGACAGGGCTCTCTGAAGCTGTTTTCCTCTGGGTGCCCTGAAATAAAATACCCTGGTTCAGAAATCACAACTACTTTCCCTTCCCTCAGCTTCTGAGTGCTGAGTCCTTGCAATTTCAGCAAGGAAACATTTTGAGTAGGCACTGGGATTGAGGTACTTCCCAAATAACACCCATGGCCAGCACAGCAGAATGTATCAATGCAATTACAAGCATTTTGCAAATTATTGAACACCTTGTATTGTGGAAGAAGTCCACCTGGAGAGACTGAGTCAAGTCTTAGCAGAATCACTCTAGTTTTCACCAAACCCAGACTGGACAGAGAAAGTCTTTGATACCTTACCTGGAGGGCTGCAATCAGCTCTCCTTTGTGTCCTGCTTGTACTGGGGCTGTGATCAGCTCTTTAGCTGATTTTTTTTTTTAATTATTCCCTTACCAGTGTTTCCAGGGGCCATTCCCTCTAAGGTTACATGAAAGGGGCCCAAGGCATTTCAGCTGCTGCTGGGCATGGCAGAACACTGCAGGGACTTCAGGTGGGAGCTGCTGAGCATTGAGGAGAGAGCAGGTAAGGCTACAACCCCCTCATATCTCCAGCAAATCAAATTTGAGTGAGACTCTTGCTCTGACATCCCCCTTTTGCAGCACACACAGACTGCACACACACCAAGCTCCCTGTACTGTTGCAGTTATCTGTACTATGGGGCTCTCTTTGTCAGATGAATTTGCCAGAGGACRTATCTATTTCAAAGTTTTAAACATATTTTTTACAGCCTCACTTCTGCCAGTGTTACATTAACTCACTGCAGTTTTTACAGAGGTGGCTTTGAGAAGTGTTGGTTCCTGCATGAGCAGGGAGGAGTAGCGGAGCGAGGCAGATCTGCATCCTTTTAATTGCAATTAATTGCACAGRCAAATGCTCATTCCTGCTGCAAAATAAAACCAAGTGTCTAGTTGACATTAAGATATCCCTCAGACATGAAAACTGGAAGGCAAATATGGTTTTCCTCACCGGTTGGGGGCAGAGACTTTTCTACTTTCCTGTAATGCCCTGATCACCTCTCTCTGGATGCTCCCTTGTGCTTTGCTGGTGGGATTGAGGCCCAGCATTTCCCATCCTTTGCTGTCACAACGTGTCAGCAACAGAGGATCTCATTTGGCGTATCCCYRATACAGGATGATAGAAACATTAAGYTGGAAAAGACCTTAAKATCATCAAGTCTAAGTGTTAACTCAACACACCATGCTCAGCACCAAATCACGTCCCCAAGTGCCACATCCACACACATTTGAACACTTGCATGGTGTGGTGATTCATGGATGGTGATTTCACCACTGCCCTAGGGAGCCTATTCCAGTGCCTGACCACCCTCACAGTGAAGAAATTTCCCCTGGTGCAACCTGAAGATATTTGCTTTTTTCCTGTCACTTGTTATCTGGGAGAAAAGGCTGAGCCSCACCTCACTGCAGCCTCCTTTCAGGGAGTTGTAGAGAGTGAGAAGTTCCTCCTAAGCCCCTTTTTCTCTGGGCTAAACACCTCCAGTWCCCTCAGCTGCTTCTCATAAAACTTGTTCTCCTTCCCCAGCCCCTTTTTCCTTCTCTGGAGTTTCTCCAACACCTCAATATCTTTTTGCTGTGAATGGCTCAAAACTGAATCCARGATTCAAGGTGTGACCTCASCAGAACTGAGTGAAGGGGGACAACCACTGCCCTCATCCTCTTTATGAGGCATATCCCCCACTTGTGGGTACTGGAAGGATTTGGAATAACCTAAGTGTTGTGTGCTGGATAAAGCCTTGCTGTTTGAATAAATTCCCACATCTTGACAAAGTTTTCTCAGCAGGCCCAGCATGAGGAGCTAACCTCATGGGTGCAAAAATCTGAGCCAGGGGATGTTGCTCACGGTAGAAGATCCACCTCCACACACTGTGGAYAGCCAGAGGGTAGGGTAAGGATAGGAGAGTCCCAGAAGAATAATTTAAAAAAGGAGAATGAGGTCACATTACTGAGGATGAGATCAAGGAATAAAATAAGCATGTAGGGCAGAAAGGTTTCCGTGCTAAATGAATTACAACCAGTGTGGAGTGTTAGGAAACAAGGAGAAAGGTGCTATAAATACAGTAAAGTAAGAGAAAGACAGCAGCAGGCATAAGCCCATTACCTAATGAGGAACAGGAGTGCTACAGATGACCTAGAGAAGGCAAACATATTTAATGCCTTTTGCTTCACTTTTCTCCAAAAAAAAAAAAAAAAGCACAGTGATATAAAGCTGGCAAGACAGAAGAGAAAAAGAACAGAGAAGGGACGTTGTGATTAAACTGAATATATTCACCAGAGGGTACAGAAGAAAGAGACCACATGAGGGAGGGGATTCTGTTCCTCTTTTCTGGTGAAACCCTGACTGCATCCAGCTCTGGGGTCCCCAGCATAAGAAGGATGTGGACCTGCTGAAGTGAGTCCAGGATAGGCCACAAGTGCTCAAGAGGGCTGCAGCATTTCTCCAGTGAAAACAGGCTGAGAGAGTTGGAGTTGTTCAACCTGAAGAAGAGAAGGCTCCAGGGAGACCTTAGAGCAGCCTGCCAGTACCTGAAGAGCTACAAGAGAGCTGAAGAGGGACTTTACAAGGGCATGTGTTGATGGGASAAGGGGGAATGGTTTTAAATTGAAAGATGGTAGATACAGATTTAGTTTAGCTGCTAGGAAGAAATTCTTTACATTGAGGGTGGTGAGGCTCAGGCACAGGCTGCCCAGAGAAGTTGTGGATGCTCCATCCCTGGAATTAGATAATATTTAATGTCCCCTTCCATCCCCAAAAAAGTAGAATAATTTGCATTTCATATTGCATGGGGGAACAATGAGATTTTGTCTGCTCTAACAGTAAATTGTTTGGGTCTGCAAACAGAACCATCACAGGATATTTAAATGATCCCAAGTGTGATTAAYAGGGATGGGAGACCCCACATGCAARYTGCTGGATGCACTCACATGAAGGAAGTTGTTTTGAGATAATTCCGGTCTGTTACTGTGAGCTGTATGGRGAAGGAGAGGAGGATGAGCCAATTAGATTTACCTTGCTTTTATTCGTGGTAGGTGTTTCAAAACACCAAAAAAGTAAAAGAAAGGTGGAAGCTGTGGATGACTTGCTGGGARGGATTTTGCTGGTAAATTTGGGTGAGATAAAAGCAGGGAGAGGGAGGCCTGTCAGGGCTTTTGAAGACAAAGGAAAAGGAGACTGTTTTTCAGGATTCCCACTTGTTAGTACTTCTCCCATCAGTACCTACTAATCCTACCAMCAGCCTTCAATTTGCAGGTTAAAAAAAGTTCAAAACATTCTCAGATTTTCCTTCCAAGGGCAGAGTGCTGTTCAGGGATTATGGAAAGAGAGGTACACACCACAGAAAGACAAGAAACTGCCCCTTCAATCCTGKGTAGGATTAACGTGTACGTGACACCCTGCGCACGTGACAGCAAATATGAGTTTCATGTGTYGCAAAAGCTTTGGTGTATGATCAGAACCTGATGTATTCAGCTCATGGGCTGGTGTTACTCTTCTATTTATGTGGTCTAAGAAAAGGAAAAGARAGAGGCAAGCCTTCAGGGGCAGTGACCCTTTCTTTATTCAAACCTGAACAGAAGGAGGGTTTTTACTTCCAAGAACTCATTTTTTTCTTTCTTCTTGCCACACAATGAGGACTCGGAAAGAATAGATCCTTGGAACTAACAAGGTTGATCATCAAGGAAACTTCTGTGCTTTCTGAATCCTATGSCTGTGGAAAAGATTTAGTGCTTTGCTGCGCCAAGCTTTGGAAGCAGAAGTTATGAAAGCTCAATTTAAAGGCTGAATTTAAAACTGGCTATGCACAGACATTTTCTGCTCTTCCCCTAAACARCACAGCATGGACCTCTGTATGCCTCCATCTCCTGAAGAGCCAAATAATGCCCAGTGTTTCCCATATGATTGCAGCAGATGCCTTCTGCARTCAATAGTGGGCCCAAGGTTAATGTTTAACATTGAGGGGGGGTAGAAATACAATGGCAGTAAATTATGGTCATTATGATGGTAGGTTAAAAGCAGTGTTGTGCACAGAGGTCCTGCTGGGAGTGTTCTGCTTGGGGGGTGTTAAGTACAACAGCGTGAGGAAATATAAATAACTGCACACAGGAGGATGGGATGTGCTCCAGAGGAAAGAACAGTGAGAGAGTAGAGCTGGGCTTTGAGTGATGTTAATGTGAAGGTTTTATGCCCACTTTTATTTTACACATGTAACACAGAGGTGAGAGCAAGGAAAAAAGCTGTTTGAAGATCTGCTGGTGCCTSCTTTCCCATCTCTGTGTGAGGTCTRCTGGTCCCTGCTCTCCCGACTCTGGGTAAGGTGGCTCTGCTGTGGCACTGATGTACTTTGTTCTGTCCTGAAAATGTGGAGGATAGTGCTAAAAACCAGGTAAAAATACTCATGTAACACTGTGTTTCAGTCATCAAATTCAGCTCTTCCTCAGTTTCTTTACAGAGCAGTTGCTTTCATGATGCCCTTCAACATGCTCATCATAAAAGGTGACTCCAGTGTGGTAGAGTCATCTGTTGGACACCAGTGGACAAGCTACAAGCAGCCAAAATAAACTAGTTTAGGAGGAGTGTAGTTGAGAATGGCTTTAAATTAGTATTCTTGATTCCCATGTTTCTGTTCCCAGCCTAATTTCTTGCTGTCCAGTAGTACTGCTGCTGTATGCATCACACAGCTGGGCACTTGGTGCATCTGAAAACAGCAACCTGGTCATCTATCACCCTGTGCTCAGCTACAGGAATGCAAATCATTGGCCTCTTGTCTGGAGCAACAGTGCAGTCAAATGGTTGAAACAATGAGTGCAAAATGCTTGATGTAGTTGTTGTTGACGTTGCAGACCCAGGAGAAACATCTCTGATTTCCCAGGAGAGTCAAYAAGATAAAACTGGTGTGAGAAGAAAATAAGTTCTGTCAGCATTGCTGGCTGTATTTATTTGTTAGTTTTAATGTTTAAAGTGTGGCCTGTGTTGTATCCTGACTCCTGGTGATCCCACTGGCAGAAAAAAGGYGAAGCAGGTTGATATCAGGCTGGTGTCCATCCTCACCCTAGCATTCAATACCCCACCACCACTACACTGCCAAATGCTCTTCCAGGCTGTACCCAGACAAGGCAGCCCACTGGCACAGCAGGGACATGCCCAGGACACCAGGGAATGTCTGGTGAGAGCCACGCTCTGCAGTGACCTGCTGTCCCAGGGTTGGTGTGCCCTAGATATTCTCTTCCTCTTCTCCTGGCCCGTATTTCACAGGCTCATCTTCCCCCTTRCATGTGGTGGCTCTGTCCCATGGAGAGAAAGGATGGAGCTGACCTCAGACAGGAGCCATGTCCCCACTGGTGACCTGTGACCACTGACCCCAGCTGAGTTTCCCATACTTTTGGGCCTTCTGAACAGCACAGCTCCTCCCACAGCTGCTGGCATAGCAACGGGGCCAAGCAGAGGGTCTGCAGGGGCTGTCAGAGCCGTGTGGASATAGATACTAATGGCTTTCCATGGGTTCTGAGCAGCAGATTTGGGGGGGCTGCAGTGACACAYACACCTCCTCCCAAAGGTCAGTGGTACATGGGGCTTGACCCCACATTCCTGGAGCATCCCTGACCCCATGCTGCAGTCAATCAGACCCATTCTGTGGCACCATTAGCTGAGAAGATTTATGTGCTTCGGGCAGTGGGAGGAGAACTTCATTTCATTTCCAGCACAGTTTTTTGCTTTCTTACCCACATTCACAGTAATGATAAAAGACATGGATGCAGCTCGAGTAGCCAGGGAAACAGCTCAAGCCTGACTGTGCTCCCAAGCAGATGTGAACCGCTGGCTTATTATTTAATGAAGTTGTGGATAACTAATGGTCTAATTGGGAAAGGGGGGCAATTGATTTTGGATAACATTTTAAAACTGCAGGCTCAGCTCAACAATTTATAACCCCAGTAATACTTTATGGCTTTGGCAGAGTTAAGTGGATTGAGTGGCCATAAACTTCCACTGGTTCCTTGTTACCATGATCCATGTTTAATGCTCTTATTGATCTTGATCTATCATTTTCCAAAACCAAAAGTTCTCTTTTTATTTTTTTCATTTTTTTTAAAGCCCCTACAGCACTGCAGGGTATGATAAAGAAAGGTGTTCCATTGCATGAACATGCAGTTTAGCTTCAGGGAATTCTGGTTCTCTTCACACCTGGCCTATTTTTGGGTAATGCTGAGTTGTTACACAGTTTATTGAGCTCAGCATGTTGTACAGTTTATTGAGCTTCATTCCTTCTGCACAAGAAACAAGAGGTGTGGAGCAGTGGATGAGCATGAGCCTGCACTTTTAATCCAGGAATTATTTGGAGAGAGTTGAATCTGCCTGAGAGACATGAAACAAGGGTGTGAGCGTGAGAACTGACTGTCATGTGTGAGGTGCAGCAAGAGTCATTCCAGGGCAACCTGCAATTTAAATACGTCTTTTCTGAACTTGGACTGATCCAAAGGCAACCCTTCTTTCAGCTGACTTCCAGTTAAGTCCTTCATTCTAGAAAAGGTGGGATCTTTAGCACCATTCAGAGGAACAAAAGGACAAAACCTCTCTGGCGTAAGAAAAGTCACCCAACTTTGCTGCCTGAGCTCTTCCCTTCTGCAAAATAAGGATGATAAAACCCAGCTGCTTCAACATGTTGTGAAGATTAATGGATTAAACAGGTCTGATCCTGCATGAATTGAAGGTTGCCTTTTGCCAAGTGTGTTGGACATGGCAATGCTACTTGCTGGCGGTAAAGATCCAGTCATTCATTCTTAATTATTATTCTGAATAGTGAGGTTCTTCTCAATATCTCCCAGGATTTACCCCATGGTCCCTGGGACTGGGCACACCAGGACAAATATGGTCCATCCTTTCTGCCAACAGTGGAAACTGTTGATAGTTCAAACCTTTTGTTGTGTGAATTGTTTTCATCACTCCACATCAGCTGTAAGGTCTTTGGCAAAGGACATTGTTGTGTCCACACTTTCAGAACATCTCCKGGGGAGGCTRCTCCTTCCTCAGTGCCTCACAAAAMAACAAATKAGTCTGCCCAGARCAAGCCCTGTGACTCYCAGCAGGATGCAGGCAGGGAGGAARGGCAGGTRGATCAGCACAAGGGTAGCAGGGTTATGGGTCACACACACARTGGGACACTTCACACCCCAAACCCAAAAGAAACAGCACAAGGAGAAATAGAGTGGGCTGTGAATGAACTGGATCAGTAAATGTGATCTTCAGCTGGGGTGAGTGAAGAACTGTTGTGAAATCTGTGCCTCTGTGCAATAACTTTCCTGGCTAATCCTGCCCCAGCAGTGACTCCAGAAAGCTGTAGCTCGTGTTGCAGTCAGTTCTGGTGCCTGCTGCAGAGCCCAGGATGAGTGTTCACACCTCCCAGAGCAAGGGATTATCCAGAGACACAGCAAGCAGTCAACTCTAAATYGTATCTGCTGGAAAATGGCAGGATGGCTATTTTTGGGGTGACTTGTACAACTTTCCAAGTTTGGGTGTATTTTAATTTCARTTTTAAAGAGCTTGGCATCACTGAGGCAGGATGTTTTGGATTAACAATTATGCAACTCAAGTGCTGAAGCAAAGGGCCTGCTAAAGTAAGTGAGATCTTCGCTTTGAAGTTTATTGGAAAAAGAGCCAAGTCTATGGGATCTAAGGAAATAGTCCTGCAAAACTGGTTTAGTGTGAGAAGAAACAATAAAATCAATGAGGCTTTTCAGAGATCTTGGCAAATTTGTATTATCTTCTTTTAAAATGCACTTTTCTGGGGAAAAGAGACAATAAATACAATAATGGTTCCTTTTCTATTTTGAATATAAAGTGTAATCCTAGTCAAYCTCATGTTCATAAAGATGTAGCACAACTGGCACAAAGAAAAACAAAAAGGACAGAGGAGAATAGAGCAACTTTCTTGTGAAGGTTGTGACCCTTCAGCTTGAAAGTGAGGTGACTGAAGACAATGAAAACACATAAAACCCTCAGCAGTRTGGAGAAGGTGAATACAACCCAAAAAGTCAAGGGCACCCAGTCAAATTATCAGGTTTAAAAATAAGTCCTACCAAAGCTCTAATTTTTCACCCAGTGGAATTGTGTAAATCATTGCTAGGAATGATGTGGAGGCCAAAATTATAAATGAGTTCAAAAAGGCATTTTCAAGGAGGAAGAGTCCAAGAACAGTTATTAAATACTAAGTTCTTCCAGCTTGGTAAATCCCTGGATGACTGCACTTTCGAGGGGTACCTTATGGAAATACTTGACCTACATATGTTGTGTTTGCTTTCTCTAAGGCACTGATAGGACTAGGTGAGGCACTGCCTTCCCTTGAGGTGATCTCTTTTGGTGTTACTCCACAGTTTTGCCCAGAAAGATCTGTAGAGAATGAGAAATGAAGGATTGGATGTATTTTAATCTAAAGTTTATGCCCTGGTTTTCATTACCTTAGACCAGCTCCAGCTTTACCCAGACATTCAGGGCTGATTTCACAACTTGAGCAGAAGCAGGGCTCCCATATCTCATTAGCAGTGCCCTTCTCTGCCTCCCAAAATGACAAGCAAAATTAAGATCCCTTTTCCAGTACACCCTCTAGAAAGATGAGCAACTCCTTCTTTGAAAGAAGCAGGTGTGATTGTCAATGCCTCTCTGAGCTCTGACCTACTGTTATCCAGGGGATTTTCAGATGTGCTGCTCCCTTCTGCTGCTCTCTCCTTGGGTTTTTAGGTCAGGGAGCTCAACTGAACRCATGCCTACCTCTTTCCTTGAAGATCTGAAACCTTTAATGAGTAGGCCAGATCTTCATTTTGTGCGACTGGCAGAGTTCCACTGCCTGCAGGAAAGCTGCAGTGTTTTATAAAGTATTTCCAAGTACCTTTGCATCCACCTCAGCCATTTCCTGGAGTTGCTATTTGAAAATGTAGCCAACATCTGTTGAAAAAGTGATATTAAACAGCTTCAGGTTAGCATATTTACTAGTGAAACTCTCGTTTTGCATGGGGGAAACAGGCATCCTTCAAAATTATTTTCTTCTTCTGCCAGTTATCTTAAACCTGGAGTGAGAGATAGATTTTCTTCAGCTGTTTCAGATGTTTGCTCTCTGACCTTTTGAAGTGCTACTTCTTCTTTATCTTCCTCAATGTTATATTCTCTTGGAGCCTGTTCTGATATCTAAGGCACTCGCAAAGTTTTTCCTTTCTCCTTACCTTTTTGACAAAGTCTAGGTAGACTTGAAACTGAGCCTCTTTGAAGCGAAGGATTTAGCAAGGTTCAAGTAGGAATTGGACATTTTATATTGATAGCAAGTGCAGAGTGAACGATAACTCTAAAGCTAACAAAACTAGAGGCTTGGAAATATTATCAGACCTCATTCTTCAGGGTTTAAGTGTTTCAGTGTAAAGATTTAGGATGAAATTGTCCTGGCAGGCAGATTATCCCACAGCTGCACGAATTTTCTCTAAAGCATCTGGTGCTGGCTCACATGTTAAAAAATGTCTTGCATGGATGTGCACCAGGTCTGATCCAGGGTGTCCCTGTTGACTACTGCCCGATCCACTGTTTTAAGCCTTTCTGTAGGAGCTTATGGAAAACCACAATGGGACTTTCTTATAATCTGAGACAGACCTCTCTTTTAAAGGAATTGCTTCAATTCCTTCAGAGTTTTTAATTTTTTTTTTTCTTTTTCACCCCTTCTTTTAAAGTTACTAAAGCTGTGCTAGAACAGACACCAGGAAATTTATTATAGTGCGATCTCAGTAAAAAACCCTTTCCTACCTGGAGCTATAATAAAGTTTGCTCATCTTTTGTAAGAGCCAGTACAAACTGGCCTGAGATGGTTAAAACTGGGACCCAAACACTAGACACTGTTGGTCTGAAAGGTAAWGAATAGCTGACAATATGAAGGAAAGATCAAACAGCATTTTTTCAAGTTAGAAAACCTCCTTTGTATCCAGTTTGGCTTTTAAAATGTTCACCCTTATTTTCTCACATTTCAGATGAAATGAAGATTAAAAAAAGGTATTGTAGGATTTCTATGACTGCAGATTTGGCAGAACAGGTCAGACAGACAGCATTGGGACTGCTCTAGGCAAATGGATTACCTGACTTCTACTCATAGGACTTTTAGTCCTTGGAAA